TATAATTATGAATAGTATATAAATGTTCTATTTTTTAAGCAATGTAAACTAAAAATATATATATTCAAAAAAATTTGATAATAACACCATTCTATTGATTTTCTTTACTTGCTTAACCTTGAGCATAACTCCTAGTCCAATCTCGAGCTATTCATTTTATTTATAATATATACATTAGAAAAAAAAATCAATTAATTTTTCAATTTTTATTATGTTCAATCCTATCATAATTAATTAATTAACTAGTTGTTAGTTAGTTTACCTGTTGCAATTGCAGCCTTTTCATCTTCTTTCCAATGTTGTGCAACATCATTAGCAAGTGGATCATCAGGATTTGGAGCAGATAAAAGTGCTTGTACAGAAAGAAGTACAGTACGAATTTGTAAAGCTGGTGACCACTTGTCTTAAAACAAAAACAAAACAGTAATGGTGATGATGATGATGATGATGATGATGATGATGATGAGTATGTATAAAGTGAACATATATATTCTCCCCCAAAAAAAAGAAAATACCTTTTAAAATATCTAAACAAATTCTTCCAAGTTTATCAATATTTGGATGATATATTTTAGTTATAAAACGTACTTTAGGTGGTGCCATTGGATATTCCTCAGGAAGAAATAGTTCCAATTTAAAAACTCCACCTATTTTTTTTTCCAGAATAGTATACAAGTATATTTTTATTAGATCATGTCATTATTCATTATTATATATTATTGTTTAGTATTATTAACCTTCAAATGGTGACTGAGTTGGGCCAGCTATAATAACATCAAAGTATCGAAGGTTTTCTTCATGTGGTATTGCACTTATGCCAGGAGCTGGTTCCTGTATTAAACGTTCAGTCTCCTAAAAACATTGAATAATAATAATAATTTATCTTTTTTACTAATTATCAATATTATAATAATTACAACAATACTTTTAATCACTGCTGAATACTACATACAACTTTAAGGTATAAGAAATATTTGTATTATTTATACCTTGATTATTCTTTTTGGTAAAGACATTTTTTAAAAAAACCCTTTTTTGTAATATAGGAAACTTTACAGTATAAGTATATTACGATCTTCATTTGGTGCAACAATGATTTATATATATATATGCTGTATAGTTTAAAAAAGAAGAGAAAAAAGTTTGCATAAGCAACCAAAAATGGAAAGATGATATACCATTTAAGAAATGAATTGATGTGTATAATTCAATCTATGTTTAACTAGAATCACGTGAAGTCCTGTTTTTTGAAAAATTTTATTACATTTTTGAACGAATTACGAAATAGTTATTTTTGAAATTTGTCCACATTGCGCAGCAATATTTTTTAATCAAAATCACGTGTAACCCTTTTTTTATTGCATTTTTGAACGAATCACGACATTGCAATTTTTGAAATTTGAGCACGTGGCGCAGCAACAGGAGGTCTTTAGACCGAGCCAACCATACTAATTCTATTCTGCCTTGTGTTAATAAATCAGTAAAGGTCATTTTAACTTTTTAATATTTATTTTTTAAAATAAGTAATAAAGCCTTTGTTTTCTGCACACCCGCACAAAATAAGTTTAAAAAATCTAGTATAATTTTATAAGCACACGAATCTTAATATGCGCAAAAAACTCAATTTTGGCCAGGGTCCTCAGACCCCTCATATTGCTGGTGGACATCCCATTGGATTATTATTTAAATGCCAATTACAGTTTGTCTTTTGTGATTTAGATGTTTTCTCTTTTTTTTTTGGTACCTTCAAACAAAAGTTTGTTTTTTCAAATTTTTCTTAAATCCTTGTTGTTGGGCCCATTGTTTAATATATATTTGATGCTAACTTTCCAAGTTGAGAAATGCATACTAGAATCCAATTTTATGTTAGCTTCGACATCAGCTCCCTTGTTCTCGTCATCCTCCTCCTTTCCTCAATAATATCATCACTCACTAAAAAACATGATGGTTTGTATACATTCGCATTCGCTTACAGAGTCACTTGAAAGATCTATTTCATTTATGATTAATATCAGAATGTTGTAAAATACATTATGACCAACAAAGGTTTTAATGGGATATATAAAATTTATTAAAAATAAAATTTGTTTTAAAAATTTACACATGAAAAAATAATTAATAAATAGTGACTATCTACCCATCAACAATTCACCCAATTCTCTAACTTTAACCTTATCAACTACTATTATCATTGTAATTAATAAATTTCAATTAATTAGCTAACCATTTAACTTACCTTATTAAAATTATATTTCATAATTTAATAAACTATCATTACTTTTTAAATTCAATTTAGCAAATTCATCATTTACATCATTTAATATTCTGCTTGTATGGTATGCTAATGGATGTGATTTGTGAATTTGTTGTGAATTATTGCTGTCATCACCACCACCACTGCTAGTTTCATTAAAATTTTTTGCTTCATAAATTTCCTTTAATTGACTATCAGCAAAATCCCAAAGCTCTTCAATAGTTGGTCTTTTTGATGGATCCACATCCCAACACCTTTGCATCATTTGTACATAATCATCAGGCATTCCTGGTAATATTGGTAGTCGTAAACCTTCACATATTTTTAATTGCAAATGAAAATCATGTGCTGTATCATCAAATGGTGGATGTCCTGCAAATATTTCCCACATTAACATCCCAATGCTATAAACATCAGTTTCTTTTGTGTATTTCACATTAATTTTGCCACCAAATAGCTCAGGTGCAATATAAGGTACAATTCCATAAATTTTATTTGATGATTCAACTGGTCCACATAATCCTAAATCTGTGATATAACAACTACCTCCTTGCATTAATATATTACCACTATGTAAATCACAATGAATTAAATCTTTTGAATGTATACGATATAATGATTCGCATAAACCCATAAAAATATTAGCTCTATCTTTTAATGTTAAATTATAATGATTTTTTTTTATATAATCTCTTAAATTTCCCTCTGATGAATAACTAAGAACCATTGCATAATTTCCATTTTCTGGGAATTTAGTTATACCAAAACAAGGAACAATCATTTCTGATTTGATTTTACAATAATTCAATGCCTGAAATTAATTATATAAATAAAGTTAGTTAATTTAAAATAAAATAAATGGTTTAAATTTAAATAAGAACAATTACCTCATCAAAAAAAGGTTTTCCTGGATTATTTGAATTATTTAATGATTTTAATACAACATGCTGATCTCCAAAATAACTAAACTCCTTTTTATTTTCATCATAATCATCAATATATCCTCTTATCCATGCAGCAGTATAAATAGAACTGAATCCACCTTTTGTTAACTTTTTTATATTATAAAATTGCTCATAAGGTATCCATTCTATAATTTGATTTGGAAGAGATGAAAGCTGTTGACATTTTTGAATAAAACCATCAATTATCTCATTCCCAGATGTCCAAGTGCTGAAAAGGCTCTGTAAGTGTAGACTAATACACTTTTCGCAATATTTATCAGAGTATCTTGTTGTTTTACAATTATTGCATTTTCTTGGTCTACCATATTTATGAATTGCATTTCTTAATTCGGAAACATAAATAAAACTTTTTCTACAATATTCCTTTTCATTTTCTAATAGTTCTTTGTTTTCATTGACTAATTGGAAAAAATAACTTTTTCTATTTTTTCCGCCAGAAACAGTTGAAAAAGCAGAATGAGCAATACTACTCATTTCATTATAAATTTTACGTGCTAATTCACTTCTGTCTTGTGTTAATAATTTAGAAAAGGACATTTTAACTTTTTTAATGTTTATTTTTTAAAAAGGTCTTTTTTTCTGCACAAATAAATTTTGTACGAACATTTTTATAAGCAATGCGAATTTAATGTGCGACGTTTTACTGAAAGAGGTTTTAAATGTCCATTTACACACACCCATTTAATATCATTTAGCATAAGCACTTAAAATCTTCTTGCAGAATGACCAAATAACCAAATGCTCATTATAAAATGTAGAAAACCATTTGGATTATTTTTTTATAAGATGCAAAAGATTTAAATACCAATTATAGTTTGTCCATTGTGATTTAGATGGTTTCTTTTTTTATTGTTGCCTTCAAACAAGAATATATCAATTTTCAAATTTTTCTAATCTACCCACTTTCTAAGCCTAAATCCTTGTTGTTTACTATATACTTGATACTAAATTGGGAAACGCATACTAGAGTCCAATTTTATATTTGCCCCAACATCAGCTCCACGTTCTCATCCTCTTCTTCCTCTCCTCAAGATCATCACTCACTAAAAACGTGGTAGTTGGTATAAATTCATTTTCACTTTCAGAATCACTTGAAAGGTCAATTTCATTTATGATTAATATTAGTGTTGCAAACACATTATGACCAATAAAGTTTTTAGGGAATAAATTTATTAAAAAAATTTTACACATAAGATCCCATATGAAAAATAATGAAAAAATAATTAATAAATAGTGTGATTATCTATCCATCATCAACAATTCTCCAACTTTAATCTTATCAACTACTGCTTAATAATAATAATAATAATATTAATATTATTATTATTATCATCATTGTAATTAATAGGTTTCAATTAATTGACCAACTATTTAATTTGCCTTATTAAAATTATATTTCATAATTTAATAAGCTATCATTACTTAAATTCAAATTAGCAAATTCACCATTTAATATTCGACTTGTATGATATGCTAATGGATGTGATTTGTGAATTTGTTGTGAATTACTGCTGTTATCACTACCACCACTGCTAGTTTCATTAAAATTTTTTGCTTCATAAATTTCCTTTGATTTATTACGAGCAAAATCCCAAAGCTCTCTAATAGTTGGTCTTTTTGATGGATCCACATCCCAACACCTTTGCATCATTTGTACATAATCATCAGGCATTCCTGGTAATATTGGTGGTCGTAAACCTTCACATATTCTTATTTGCAAATGGAAATCATGTGCCTCATCATCAAATGGTGGATATCCTGCAAATATTTCCCACATTAACATCCCAATGCTATAAACATCTGTTTCTTTTGTGTATTTTTTTGCTCTAAATAGTTCTGGTGCAATATAAGATACAATTCCATAAATTTTATTTGATGATTTTTCATCAACTGGTCCACATAATCCAAAATCTGTGATATAACATCTACCTCCTTCCATAAGTATATTACCACTATTTAGGTCACAATGGATTAGATCTTTTTTATGTATATCATCTAATGCACTACATAAACATCTAAAAATTGTAATTCTATCCTTTAATGTTAAATTTAAATGATTTCTTTGTAAATAACCTCTTAAATTTCCCTCTGAAAGATAATTTAAAACTATTGCATAATTTCCACTATCTGGGAATTTAGTTATACCATAACATTGTACAATTGAGGTTGATTTAATTTTACAATGATTCAATGCCTGAAATCAATTATATAAATAAATTAATTAATTTAATATAAATGGTTTGATTTAGTTTATTTTAAATAAGATCAATTACCTTATCAAAAAAAGGTTTTCCTGGATTACTTGAATTATTTAATGATTTTAATACAACATCTTGTTATCCAAAATAACCAAACTCCTTTTTATTTTCATTATAATTATCAATAGTTCCTCTTGTCCATATAGCAGTATAATTAGAACTGAATCCACCCTCTGCTAACTTTTCTACATAATAAAATTGCTCATAAGGTATCCATTCTATAATATGCTGTGGAAGAGATGAAAGCTGTTGACCTTCTTGAATAAAACTATCAATTATCTCATTTCCAGATGTCCAAGTATTGAAAAGGCTCTGTAAGTGTAGGCTAATGCACTTTTCACAATATTTATCAGAGTATCTTATTGTTTTACAATTATTGCATTCTCTTTGTTTGCCAATTTTATAAATTGCACTCATTAGTTCAAAGTTATAAATAAACCTTTCTTTACAATATTCCTTTTCATTTTCTAATAATTCTTTGTTTTTGTTGACTAATTTTAAAAAATAACTTTTTCTATTTTCTCTGTCAGAATTAGAAACAGTTGGATAAGCAGAATGAGCTATACCAATCATTTCATTAAGAATTTCAGATGCTAATTCTTTTCTGTCTGGTGTTAATAAATCAATGAAGGACATTTTAACTTTTTAATATTTATTTTTAAAATCGATCTTTTTTTGTGATTATTATTATTATTTGCAAATCAAAAAAGTCTTGATTTTACCCAATTATTTCTCGTCATAATTTTCACCTTCCTAACCTTACGGGATATTAAAATTTTCTTTTTGTATACTTTAACAGATCATTTGGAACCTTGGGAATTTCCTTCATGTAAAAGTATCTTGATTTTTCTTACAATAAACATATTGAATATAGTATAAGTGAGAGTGCGCTAGACTGAATTAACAAAAAAAAAGTAAATCCAAATTAAAATTTCATAACCAAAATCTTTTACATATAGCAAATCTTTGATGCTATTTTTTCATTGTTTCATATAAAGTATTTGATTTCGTCGAATACAGACAGTTAACTTATAATATCCTCATTGTTTTCAAATCCCTTGATTTCAAAAAAATAATTTATTTAGATAGATCAGACTTACCTTGTTATTTAACTCCTTATTCTTACAATTGTTGTTCTTTGTCAAAGAATTTCATCATCATCTATACTTTCACTTACCGCTTTATAGATATCAAATTTTTAAATTTTTTTTTAAAGGGCATACTAAGAAAATAAAATACCGCCACCTTTTCCTTTGTAGTTGAAAATTTATTTTATATAAGTTCTTCCAAGGCTACCAGAAATCAGTTATACCAGATTTCATCAAGCCTTGCCAATTGTCAGAAAGTGAAGACGAATCCCATGTTGTGCAGTTATGATATTTAAATTCGCCTTGAACAGTCCTTTTGTTTCTTTAATCAAAAAATCAGAACTGGAAGGGTTGATCAGGAGCTAAAGTCTTTAAGTTCGTTCTAGAGTGTTTACTATTAATATTCATATCTGAGTTACGAATAATCAAACAATCCTCGTTACTATATAATTAATTAACATTATTAATAAAAGCTTCAATTTCTTATAGGTAATAATATATTCCCTCCTGATTTAACGAGTGTCTGGAATAAAAAAAAAATGAGAGAAGAAAATATGGGTCGCAATTTATAACCAGGCCTCACTCTGCGGCCCCTTGCCTGTATGTAGAGTGTTGCAGTATGACTGTTAGTCTGATGACAGCAATTTTGACTTTGCATACTGAGGGACAAGTATTTGCGAGTAGAATTTTAAAACTGCCTCAATTATAGCACCATCGTTTAAGGTATACTAGGAGTAAAGCTCCAAACAAGCTGAGCCAAACGTTCAACTTAACTCGAGTTTGATGTTACATAAAATTTTTTTAGGTAACGAATGATTGATTCTATTATTTCATTTAAGAGCCTATTTTCTTGAACTCAGCTCGAATTTGAAAATTCTGATTTTAACTCGGGCCTATTCAACTTAGGGTTTCTATTCGAATGAGATTTATTCGAATTATCTGTTATTAATTTGAGTATTCAAATAAAACGAGTGAACAAATAACAAATATACATATTTTTGAGGTTGCTGTGAGTTATTGTATTAATATGGAAATTTGTTTTATTTCTATATTTTTTTTACAACGTTGTTAGTTTTTGCAACCCATCAATACTCATAACCTCTAATCTTTTACACTCTTTTGAAATTGCCCTTAGAAATTTTTAATTGAGAATAACCAAAATCAAGGATCTGTAGTTTTCTAATGAAAGAGCTTGACCCATTGCAACATATTTTCATCAACGTTACGTCAATCCTCGAGTTTTATGAACAGTCAGAACAGGCCCCCGGATTGACATTTAGATTTTTATCTACTTCTATCACGTATCGCAGATTTAGTTATAGTCCCTTTTTTTTTATTGATCAAATATATTAATATATTTGTCTTAACGGATTTTAATAATAATAATAACAAGCCAACGAATGAACTAATATAGACAAATAATAAATGATAACATACCGCTAATGAGCTCATCAATTGTAATAGTATTTCCTGAAGAACCATTAGGACCGGTTGGAATGTTAGTGATATTTGTATATGAGAAGGTTCAGGTATAAATGGATATTCTAGGTTTAATATTAACAACGTGTCGACGTTAAATCAAAATTAAGGTTGTTCGAAATATACTCTGTGGTTCTATGTTGATTGTACTCACGCCTTCGATGGTTATGGTGACAGGATTACCTACAACAATTGGATCGAGGAGATATTCTAGTTTACTAAAGATGATTGGAAAAGTACCGTCACATGGTGCAAAAACTCCCTTTACCAATGAGGGTGAAGGAAATGTGTAAATGATAACTGGAAAAAAGAATAAGGAAAGTAAATGCTAAATAATTTGTTTTTTTTGTTTATTTTATTGTTATTGTTATTATTGTTTTATTTTAAAGATTTTTTTCTCACTTCAAGAGCAGACGGTGAATTGATGATTCCTATTTATATAGACTAAAATTTTTTTTTTTTTGATTACCAAAATGCGCAACAACCTATTATGTAGCGAACAAAATAATAATTAATTGGAGACAAAGTAAAGAAAATATTGCTTTTTAGTAACATAATATATATATGCGACGGATTTTATATAATGAATCGTCGTATTATATATTGTTATCGTAGTTTTTTTAAAAACAAATGCAGTGTGTGGTGTAGGTAAGGAAGGATAGATATATTTCTGCTCAAAATTGAGTCAGAATGATATTGAACATGCAGTTTCACGAAAACATATACTTGCGATTAATAAAGTCATATATTATTTAGCTGTCGGTTTATTATTGAAATTTATGACAAGACACATATAACTGTTTTCTAATTATAATTATAATTAAAAAGAAAAAGGTGCAAATAATTCAGAAATTTAAATAATCAAGAAATGAAGTTTTGATTATGTAGTAACAGTAATGGTTCCTTTTTCACACCCTAGTTTAGTTACTCCATCAGCAGCAAGAACTAAATAACAATTGTCAAATATATTAATTAGAATATGAACAAGCAGGTTAACGAATGAACTGATTTAGCTAAATAATAAATAGCAATAATAACATACCATTAATGACTTGATCAAGTGTAACGGATTGGCCTTTAGGTGCATCAGGAATGGCTGGAAAGGTAGTGGTGTTTGAATATGAGAAGGTTCCAGCTGCGTATGGACATGTTAATTTGAATTCTGTACAAAAATCAACATTGGTGGTATCTTTCACTGTTCCCTGAAAACTAGTAACTAATTGAAGTATAGTGCCTGCTTCTATGGGGTCTTTATTTGTGCCTTCGATGTTTGCGGTAATAGTTTCACCTAGAACAACTGGATCGGGGGTAATAGTGTATGCGGTAAAGGTAATTGGAAAAGTGTCATCACATGATGCAAAAACTCTCTTTACCAATGAAGGTGACGGAAAGGAGTAAATGATAATTGGAAAAAAGGACAAGAAAAAGAAAGTGCTATATAATTTGTTCATTTTCGTTTTTTTCAAATTATTATTTTTTTTCTCATTTCAACAGACTCTTTATATAATCAAATTTCTAGATGGTTTATTTGCTTTTAAGCTATTACTACACTCACTGGACAAAAATATATGAACATTTGTTGATCATCAAAAATAATCGAGTGACTTTGACGTAATAAAACTAAATATTTTATTAACCTAATCAATCCTATTTATTAAGTAGAAATCCTTTTTCATATCAAATTCTATAACATACTGAAGTTTCATTGCATATAAATAAAA